GTGGGGCCAACCTTGTTGACAGGTATACCACAAATTATCCCCACACCCTCTCTGATCTGCCACTCTGCTTTCTGCTCCCTGCCCTGTGCTTCCTACCTGATCTAAACAGGGAGCTCTATCTGCCTGTCCCCTCCCCTCTCTACCATTTGTCACACACAGAGGCTGCCCATACAAGCTGTGGCATCTGTGCCATAGGTTGGCCACACCAGTTTTAAACACGCTAGATACCCACTAAGCATGTGCAGAATTGACTTTCCTTTGGGCTTCTTATAACTCGCCCCCATTTCCTCAAATGACTGACTCCTCAGCAAGGGCTTTTCGAAGTGACCATGAATTTGAGTCTTGAGATCAAAATACAGGACATGCTTCTTCAAACTAGGTTTCCAAAAACTAAATGTTCGCATCAAACAAATTGTGCCTCGGAAACAGAGCGGAGAGGGCTCAGTCTGCAAGGTGCCAAGTACTCTGGTTCAATCCAGCACCACCCATAAACACGTTCTCGGCATAAAGCACAGGAGTAGTTTGGTTGACTTCAGCAGAGCTGCTCAAACCCTTGAAGCACTTTGTGCATAATTAAATCCGTAGCTGGATTGCCTGGCACCTTGCGGAGCCACGCTCTCCTCTTTTAAAATGGGCACTTGGGAACGACAGTTATTGGATCAGCTCGTACAAAGAAAACCCAGGGAAGAAGTACGGGTCTATGGAAATCAAAGACAAACAACTGTACACAGCACACAAAGGCTCCAGGGGTGGGTGGGTGTCTGTCTCTCACACTTGGATGCACTCTCATGCACATTCACACTCGTACGTACTCTCTCATATCCACGTGTCACATTAACATGCACTGTCGCTCTGTCTCATGCAGCCATAGTCTCTCTGTCACACTGTCTCTAACATACACACAAGCTTGCACACACATTTAAAATTGAACTGGACTAGATGGCCCAGGAAGACCCTTCAAAGACACTGTTCCAAATCTGCCTCTCTGCTCACACAGACACTTCTCTATATTTAATGTTAGCCTGCACCTGGTTTGTAGGTTGCCAGCTATTGATCATTAAGGATCCTGGTTTTCTCTTAAAAAATCAAAAAGTCTCTGATTAATACCCCCAAATTCTTTGATTAAAACCCCCCAAATCTGTGTTCTTTCACTATTAAAATAAAACTGCCCTATATATGTAGGTATCAGTAGAATACAATGTTTTATTGATATACATACAATTTTAAAGCAGTTTGGAAGCCTACCAGTGTCTCAATCATTATAATAAAATAAATTCTACCTACTGTCATATTTTGGCATTTGATTTAGTTGTTTTTTTTATTATGGAAAATCAGAGCTCCCCCTGCCCCCTTTGCTCAGCAGGACATAGGTCCAGCTGTGGCTGTTCCCCCCCCCACTTTGTGGCACCGAGCAGCCCTGACATGCTGGTGCCCTGCCCCTGCTGGTGCCCCTCATTCCCGTCCTGAAGCCACCTGTCCCCCACCCCCAGGCCCCAGCTGAAAAAAAGCATAATTTAAAAAACAAGGATGATGCCTCCCAGAGCACATATTCATTTCTTCTGACAAGCGCTCTCTTTAAACCTGCGAGCAAATTTAACACGCTGGTAGCAAAATACCTGCAATCTGCCCTGGCGGAAAAAACAAACTGTTTGGTAGCCTGCAACTTGACCCAGGTGCTGCTTCTGCTATAAAATCTGTGCTGAGAAGGGGGTGTAAAGAGCCTCTGGGCTTTTCTGGGACTTCTGGGCAGCAAAGCCCGACTGAAACAGTTTCTGCTGGGGCTGGGCTGGAGTCAGACACCTGAGCTGCTCTGAGGCTGCCCTCAGCAGAAATGTGGGGGTGTTCCTGTGCTTGGAAGTGCCCCGGCCTGTGCCAGGCGGTCCCACCATGTCTTACAATTGCAGTCATAGACCATGAGGGCTGGAAGGGACTTCGGGAGGTCACATCTAATCCAACCCCCTGCTCAAAGCAGGACCAACCCCAACTACATCATCCTGGCCAATGGTACTGGATTGCCCCAGTAAATTTGAACAAGGATCCCAATAGGCGTCAATGCCTGCCCTGAGAGCAACAGCCCTGTTCCTAGGTTGGTTTGTGCTCCCCAGACCGGGAACTGGGAGAATACAACAAATGCAATGGAGGTGTTTCACAGATTCACAGAAGTTTAGGGCTAGAAGGAACTTCGTGAGATCATCGGGTCCAGCCCCCCTGCTCTGGGCAGGAAAGACTGGTGGGGTCAGATCACCCCAGCAAGGTGTGGATCCAGTCTCCTTTTGAAGATCTCCAGGGTAGGTGCCTGCACCACCCCCGCTGGGAGTCTGTTCCAGAGTCTGGTCACACAAACCGTGAAGTTTTTTCTTATATCCAGTCTGAAACCTTCTTCTAGTAGTTCATGACTGTTGCTCCTGGTTTCCCCTGGGGTGCTTTGGTGAATAGTTGTTGGCCTAGCCCTTGATGCTCTCCCCTGATATATTTCTAAGCTACATTTGTGTTGAGAGGGACACCACTCACCCTGGAGTGCAGAGACCAGACAGTGGGGCCAGGAGGGAGAGCAGGGGAGGAATTACTTCCCCTTCCTCTTGCTACCCAAGGCACCTGGGAGTTTACAAGCAGTAATTTGGGCTTGGTTTGGATGCCCAGAAACCTCACGCATCCTGCTCCTGGTCTGCCCTTCCTGGCAAGCCAGGAGCTGATGGGCAGCCTCAGGAATCTGACCAGCCCGGGGAGGAGGGAAGCCTCCCAAGTCAGCAGCAGCTTCTCTGGGGCCGGGCAGGGCGCTGATCGCCTCCTTACTTTCCACTAGCTGAAGTGGCCCCTGCTGCCCTTGCCAGGAGACGGGGCAAGGTTGCAAGGCGGGCAAGTTGGAGCTGCAAACACCTTGGCTCTGCTCTGCACAGCTGCATGGCTATGAGTTGTGGTGGGGAGCCTGTGCCCGAGGCACTAGCTGGGTGCAGACAGCTCCACCTCCCTGCCCTTCTGCATTGTTCCCCACTGGTCCTGCTCCTTCCCCTTCTCTCTTCTGTGGGATCCCCTCACTTCTTCACTCCCCTCTTCTGGGTCTCGCCTCCACACCGACCCCCCACATCAGTTCCCTTCCATGGTTTCCCGCTTCAAAGGGGAAAATCTGGGTTTTTCTACTTTAAAGGGGAAAAGCCATGATTTTCCACGAGAAACAGAAAACCCAGATCCCTGTTGATTACATAAATGTTCTGCTGCTGTTCAAGTAAAAATAACCTTTCTCACCTAAACCACATACTTTGAACTTGCTTTATGAAGAAAAAAAAGGCATTTGTTTTAAAGATACTTATTAGCTAGCTGGAAGGGTACAAAGGAAATGAAAGGCAGAAATTTGCACTATAACTCAGGTCTTGGGTAAAGGATTTAATGCAAGTAATAGTGATGGAAGAAACAATTTTTCAACAACAGGGCTAGTGAATCTAAAGATCAGTGGGAATCCGGCCATAGGGCTTGTGCCATGTAACAGCAGTGTATCAAGGCCACTAGAAACAAAAGGTCTGATAATGTTTTGTTTTTATTTATGAAAAAAGTAATGTGTAATGAGCAGTACTGAAAGGTTTTAAAAAACACAGTGTAAAGTTTTACATCTATATTGTACACAGATAGTTTTATACAGCGTATTACATGCAAACAGATCATGTTCAGATTTTGTAAAAACTAGTAGATCCCCGGTTCTTGGATGACAAATCACAAATAATTTTGAGTTTTGTAGCAGCTCCTAAAAATATACAAAACCCAAAAAGCATAGATGATCAAAGTGATCTAAAGTAGTGGTTCTCAACCAGTGTGCTGTGGGGGCCCTTTCGGGGGTGCTGCAGTGGCAGTGACCAGATAAAAATGCCCCCACCTCCCTCCATTAGGGCTCTCTAATCAGCCTGAAGCAGGCCTTGCGCTGTGCAGCTCTTCCTGGTCTGTCCCCACCCCCTGCGCTCCTCCTGGAAGCAGGCGGAGGTGGGGCTGCCCTGCCCGCCTCTCTCTGGGGGGAGTGTAGGGGGTGCCAGGCCGGAAATTGCTGCACAGCCCGAGGCAGCTTCTGCCTGCTTTAGATCGATCAGAGCCATAATATAGGAGTATGTGCACGTGGCACAGCTCTTCCCAGTTGGGTGTGCAGCACAGGGCATTTTTATCAAAGTTTCACAGTCCTTCCCAGCAGCTGAACCCAGCTGAGATGCCTTCGGGTATCCTGAGCCAGCACCAAAAGTGGCTGTCAGCTAGGGGTGTCACTGCATTCAAAAAAGCAGTACCCATGTGCCTTGCCCCTGAAAAAGTTGCAAACCACTGTTCTAAAGCCCGCTGAAGTGATGTTGCATAGCATTGCCACTTGGTGGTGCCAGGTGGAATTATAAGTCTCAGATGCTGGGTGAGAGAAATCCCATTGTATAACGATCAGTAGTGCAATTCTTTGTGAACTAGCAAACATCTCTGTATCACTAAGCCCTCCGTACATTGATAGTTTAGCCGTGCTAGGGCCTGTGCCATACTATAACCCCTGTGGTCGGTGAGCAAGCTTAAGCTGGATCCAGTTTCCCTCCCTCTTGTTATAAAAGAGAGGGGATTGATGGGCAGTCATTCTCTGGGAGGGCTAGGTCCCTGAAACTTGCTGCCTCTGACCCCTCTGCCTGAATTTGGGGATGTTGCTATGAATGCTGTGATAGAGTTTTGGAGAGACTCGAGGGGTCCTGCTCCCTGTGATTAATGAAAGGAGATTTTGGAGGGGTGTTTCACTTGGTTCCTGTGAAATTATTATTTTAATGCTGCTGGGATTTTCTTGTCATGATTGATGTATTAGGACACTTGAGTGCTTTGGGTAGGGGTCATGCTATGGTTTTAAATAAAATACATTTCTTTGTTTAGATGTAGGTTGATCTTGCTTTTTTATTGTAGAAATCTTGGTGTGGGGTTTGGAATGGTTAATACCTTACTAAGATTGTCAATGTATTATCTAAACACAGTACACTGATAATATTTAGTGGTAGTCATTGTAACATTTATCTTTTCTTTTCTCTCAAAACTGCAGTTCCCAGAGAGTTGGTGGACCTTCACTTGAAGCTGATGAGAAAGATTGGGAAGTCTGTCACAGCAGACAGATGGGAAAAATACTTGATCAAGGTACAATAACTTTGTTGTCTTGCTCTGAAATGCTGGAATCTGTGACCAGGTCTTGTGTCAGAAATCCTTGGTATGAATTTTAGTGAACCTTGGGCCGTGCCATAGCCAAAAGCAGCGTGCATGCCCAGACTTTAGTTGCATAATGTTCTAGCCTGACTTTCAGCCTGCTTGGGTATACCACAAATCACTGAAAATGCATATCCTGCATGGAGAAGATTGCACACATACAAGCATATGCAAAACCTTGAAAATTTTGGACATTTGAGTACAGGAGCAGATTAGAGTTTAAGAATGATAGAAATCAGAGCAGTGAGATTATCAACTGTATAGCTATTTATCAGTAACTCTAATATGAGGGGATTTGCCAGCTTTATGCTCACTGATAAAGATTTTGTGATTATTCATATCAGCTTACGTAGAATGGCAGAAGTTGTGGGAAAATATACAGTATTTATTTGAATCCAAGATGAGTTTTTTTTCATCCCCATTTAACATGGGGGGGAAAAAGAAACCCTTCTCTTAGAACAAGTGCAAGGTGGGGGTTGAGTATGAGATGGCAACCACAGGTTGGGGCTGGGGCCAGAGGCAGGGCCAAAGCCAGAGCTAGAGTCAGAGCTGCTGCCTGCCCCCCACCTCTGCAGCCTTGCCAAACACCCCAGCCTTTGCTGCTCACCCTCTGGCTGTGGGCCTGCTCCAGCATGGAGCATGTGTTTACTTCAGCCCTGGCTACTAATGGGGGGGAATAGGTGCTGGGCAGAGGGGCAGGCAGAGGGAACAAGTGTTGTGGGGATAGACAGCAGAGGTCAGGCTGCTTGACCTTCCCGCTACTGTTTGCCCCCTTGCTGTCTCCCTCACTGCCTGTCCCCTACTGCTTCCCCCACCTCCTGGCCCCTGCCACTGCTTTCCCTGCTATGGTGGGGGGGGTAGGTGCGAATTTAAGATGACCCTCCAATAATTAAAATCTAGACATGGGAAATTATAACAAATTTATACATTTTCTGTGTCTAGAATCCAATTATTGCTGTCGTCTTTAATTCAGAGTTGTCTTGGTTTTGAGTAGTTATGTATCAGTAGCGCAGAAGCATTCCTTCGCCTTCATATTGCTGTGACTTAAGTCAATGGTTCTCAACGTTTTTAGTCTCAAGGCATCCCTCCATAACCTTTCTAAATTTAGCAGCATCCCAGTTGAGAACCACTGTGATAAAGGAGCACAAAAGAAACCACATGACACTGGAACTGGGTGCTGGATCCAGCATGCAGGGCCCAGGGCTCCCTGTGGGCCCAGACTTTTGGCAGCAGAGGAGAAGCGCTACTGCTTTCCCATCAGAGATGACCCAAGCAGGGTCCAGGACAAATCAACCTGTGTGGGGCCCTGCTCCTGTGTGGCCCGGAGGCAAAGAAGCTGGTGGTGGATTGGCGTGGGGGGAGGTGCCGAGCGGCCGAAGTTTAGCTTTCAAGTTAATTGTCTCTCTTAAAAAAAAAAAGAACTCTTAATTTTTTTAAGAATAGGATTATTACATAAAAACTGCTTTTAAAACGAATAGCGCAAAGTGAGCCTAGGCAGCTTTCCCTCCTCCCAGCCTCTCTCACAGATCAGGCCTTCCTGTGCTACTTGTGTGGGCTGGGTAAGCATACAGCTCAGCTCTTTAAGACAGTCTCTGACATGGTCCAAATCTGCCTGTTTAGCTGTGCCAGCAGGAACAGTTCTCATCGGAGATGCCAATACTTGCAGACGGGCCTTAAGGAGTAACCGCTGGATTCCATCTTCTTAGAGCTTTTTTTTTCCAAACCTACCTACCTACCTGCAGCTCTTAGCTGGTTCTTTATCTTTCCATCTGTCTAAGAGTTTTCATGCATGACACTTTCTTCACAGTGGCTATGCATTTAAAAATACTGAACAATATGATTAATATGTTTAAGAGCCACCAGTATTGATCTATATTAAACCATTGTTTGATAAACCTATGTGCCATGAGGATTCATAGGTTAGCCTTTCCCTTTTACATACCTTGGTTTATATCTCCTTTATTCTAGGAGAAAAATAGTCTTACCATAGTCCAGGGTTATCTGAGTTCCAAGCAGCTAGGGGGTCACGCAACCCTCAGGCCACATCAGCAAGGGCATCCATGTGGCCTTGGGGTCCATGGCTCAGTCTGGTGTGGACCATGGAGCATGCAGCTTCCATCTCTTGGAAGTTGCACTGTTCTTTTCAAGTGGATATTTGCAGTAGGTCAGTGGTTTTCAACCATTTATCATTTGCGGGCCCCTAAAAATTGTGAATGGAGGTGCGGACTCCTTTAAATTGTAAGGCTGGGTATTCACGTTGTAAACCACTGCACTAGATAACTGCCCGCAGTTAGAAATTTTACTACTTTAAGTAACCAAACGCTTCTTTTTTTGCTTGTGAAACATGCTCCCTCATGACCTCCACTTCTTAGAAAACTTTTTAAAGGTTATTATTCCAACCCTGCATTGGGTAGGGTTGCTGTTGATCCTATGTACCCATCTTTCATCAGCAGCACTTTTGCCTACTTTTCTTTGTCCGTCCATTTGTTTTGTATTCATTTTTAAAGATGGTCCTAGTTTAATGTCTTAAAATATATCTTAAATGCTTTGAAAACAGGCACTCCAAGGACCTCAGCGCTTTATAAATAATTTAGTCGTTTCACAAAATGGAATGCATTTATCAGTTACGTGTGCAGCTATAGTGTGACTGGGGATTGGGATCCCGCTGTGCTTGGAAACGTACAGCCACACGCTAGGAGGCAGGGGCTGCTCCAGAGTCCAGAGAATTTATGTACTAAATCTGAGAGCTCTGATTCTAGTCCGTGGGTCAGATCTGGCCGGTGGTGCCATGTCACTTGGCCTGTGGGGCTCCCCATGGGTCTGGAAATTTGGCAATGAGAGACAGGGTCATCCTTGGGGGGGGGGCGAATTGAGGAGACCGCCCTGGGCCCCATGCTTTGGGGGGGCCAGGTAGAGCAGCTGTGGGGACTCAGCACCGCCAACAGCTTCACATCCAGCTGCTCACCACCCCCCACCCGCCGAATCCACTGCCAGCTTCTTCACATCTGGGACGCATGTGGGCAGGGCCCTGCACAGGCTGATTTGCCCCAGGCCCTGCACCCTGCTCAAGTCATCTCTGATGGGAGACCAGTAGCACTTTACTGCTGCCAAATATCTGGGCCCTGCGTGCTGGATCCAGCACCCAGTTCCAGTGCAGAGGGCCAGGCGGGGGCAATGCTGGGCCCCAGGGCCCAATCCCAGCACAAAATGGGTGAGAGGGGATGGCACTGGCCCCCTGGGGGGCAGAAAGAGGGCCAGGGAGGGGACAAGGTCTAGAGGATTTGCCTTTTTAAAACTTAGGGAAGACAAGCCTAGTGTCTGCCCACCCATGCATGGGTTCATCTTTGGGTGGGGGGGCTGTTGTGTGTAGTCTTTTGCTTACAGGCATTAAACAGCTTGTGGATAGAAGTAAATACTTGTATTACCACAAAACAGTCCTTGTATGTAGGGGTTTCAAGTTACCTCCATCCACTAACACTAATTAATTGACAATTTCATCTTACAGATATGCCAAGAGTTCAATAGCACTTGGGCTTGGGAGATGGAGAAGAAAGGATACTTGGAAATGAGCGTTGAGTGCAAACTCGGGATTCTGAAGGTAATGCACTTGATATTTTAATGAGTAACCTTTTGTCATTAATAGGACCTAAGCTTGGCATAATTGAACACTTCTCAATCTTGTACTTAGGTATATTAAACTTGAAACTGATGTAACAAACAGATAGGACCAGGCATAGCTTCTGGTGGTTTTATCAATGGGATAAGTCCCAGGAGAATATGATGTTCTCTACAGATATTCCCATACTTTGTACTGAAATTTTCTTGTAATTGCCATTCTGCCTGGTAGAGGGTGTTTAACCACACAGTATCACTTCTCTTAATGTAAACTGGCTTACCTCAAAATGATTTTGTCTCAGGCACAAAGGTAAGAATTGGAGCTAATCTTTTGATCTTCAGCTAGTGAGCAGGAGTAAAAAACCTCCACTGGATTATTTCAAAATACCTGAATTTTACTGTAGACTAAAACCTGAATAAATAATATCCACTGTTCAGATGGGTCATTCATATAAAAGAAGCTTCCAGCTTACACACACAATGTGGAAGTTACAGAGTTTCAATGACCAGTTTTAAAGGGGAAATAGAAGCATCTATTTGTTTATATATGTATTGCAGATTGATTTCTTTCTTATGGTATTACAACGTAATGGAGTTCTTTCTATGGAAGAGAGATGCCTCCACTCTTCTCTCTCCAAAGATATCTTTACATAGGCCACTAAAAAGAACTAAAAACATGTTTGATTTAACAGGAAAATGTAGAATGGAGATCCCAATCTAGCTCATTCACAAAACCAGTAAGGGCAGGTTTAAGTAGAGTCCCCAAAGTGCACTACTACAAAAATAAAGGTGATTTTTATAATTTCTGTACTATATTGATGTCTAAAATCTTTCTGTATTGGATTTTTTTCAGTACCTCTGTGAGTGTCAGTTTGATGACAATCTAAAATTTAAGAATATTATTAATGAGGATGATGCCGACACTATGCGCATTCAGCCAATTGGTCGTGACAAAGATGGCTTAATGTATTGGTACCAGCTGGATCAAGAGCATAATGTTAGGATGTATGTAGAAGAACAAGATGACCAGGATGGGTCTACGTGGAAATGCATTGTCAGGTAGGTCTCTTTTTTTCTGTTGCTTGCTACACATTTTAAATCTTATTAGTGACCATGCAGTTGAGCAGTTGACTTCAGTCAGTCTCCATTTATCAAACAGCAGGTTCTGGTTGATTTATTTTTGTCTTTGAATAATGAATAACATGTGCATAACTATATTCATGAGGAAATTGTTTTTTGGGTAGTAGCTGGTGTATAACTTGTTCTTTGGTTTATGGTACCCTTCAGAAAATATATATACAGTATATGTATGAAAGGGAGAATCGGGAGAAGCAGTGGCTTGGGGAGAAAGGGCCTACTGTGTGCTAGCAACATTCAGGACTGGTGAGGCCTTACATAGAGTATTGTGTCCGTTTTTGGGCTGACACTTCAAGAAATCTGTGGGCAGATTGAAGAGTCCAGTGGAGAGTGACAAAAATGATTAGAGGCCTGGAAGGCATGTCTTATATGAGGAAAGGTGGAAGGAATTAGGGTTATTTAGTCTGGAGAAGAGAATTGTGAGGCAGGGGGGTATGGCAACAGTCTTCAAATATCTGAAGGATGATTATAAAGAGGATGGAGTTGGAGTTTTTTCTCAGGGATTGACCAGTTGAGTTTTAGTTTCCTGGAGACACAAAATCACAGTTTAGTCCAAGTAGCCAGGAGCAAACCCTTTGGGAGCAGAGCTCAGACTGTGACTAGGGATGAAGTGAAACAGTGCTGCTGAGTGCTAACACGAAGAGGGTTCACTGCCCTCTTGAATTTCCTTTGGCTCCTACAGATTGGTCTTGGTGACTTCTTAATGATCTTTTAGACTCAAAGCAGTGCTTGTCATCATTCTTAGTAAAATGAAGAGGTGGCTCTTTTTATATACTGTTTTACTGGATTCTAAGACAAGGTTTTTTTCACCCATTTAACGTGTGGGGGTGGGGGGAAATCCCCTCATCTTAGAATTGTGTACGAGAGCAGTGGCAGGGCATGCGGCTGCTGTCAGGGCTCAGGCTCCAGCTCCTACTTGAGGTTGGGGCCATAGCCACGGCTGCTGCCTGCCCTCCCTCCTACCCCCTCACTTCTGCACCTTGTCATGTCCCCCCTGCAGCTTCTTCCCCACATCTCCCTCCTAATGCAGCCTCTTCTCCTCCACCTGCCCCTCTCCTTCCCCACTTACCAACAGGCTCCATTCAAGCTGCAGCCTAGGCACAGCATGGCCCCAGCCCAGCTTGTAGCTATGCGGGCTGGTCTGGGGCTATGCTCCATGTCCCATGCTTGGAGGGGCATGCTGGTAGTGATCAAGGGTGAGGTGCAGGGGAAGCAGGGAGCAGAGGCTGGTGAGGAAGAAGAGTAGAGGCAGAGGGGGAAGGAGGTCCTGAGGGGGAAGGAGGCAGGCAGCAGGGAGGGCAGGCACAAGTAGGGGATAAGCTGCTTGACCTCCGCACACCACCTGCTTCCTCACTGCCTGCCCCCCTGCAGCGATGGGTGTGTGTGGCTGGGTGAATTTAAGGCAGCCCTACAATAATTAGATTCTATACATGGAAAAATGATAAGGCTTATACATTTTCCATGTATAGACTCTAATTATCAGAAGTCATCTTAAATTCAGAGTCATCTTAGATTTGAATAAATACAAGAGATTTTATTTTTCTATATATACGTGTGGGCCTGAATAAAATAATGGTTAGCATCAAGGAAAATCTTACGAAACCTTAAAATGTAGCTTTATAGTACAATTGTTCAACCTATTCTTTTATATGAATGTGAATCCTGGATGCTGACTAAGGCAAAAGGAAAAAGACTGCAAGTAGACAGTAGAAAGGAAAATATTTGGTGCAGTACAAGAAAACGAAATATGGAGGATAAGACATAATCAAGAGCTTGTGGACATTTACAAAAGACCTGATGTCTTGGGCAAGATAAGAGTACAGAGAATCAAATGAACAAGGAATAGCATGAGAACAGATGAGAGAAAGCATACAAGGTTTATTTTGGAAGCTGAGCTGGACTGTATCAAACCTTGAGGCAGACAAAGGCAACAATGGGAAGATAAAATAAAAACTGAGCTGGAAGGGATAAGGGAAGATGCAACAAGATAGAAGGAGATTATGCAAGATAGGAGGAGATGGAAGGCTGTAGTTAAGGCTGTTACAGGTCCTCGAGGCCTGGGAGACCAGAAAGAGAGAGAGACATTTGTACTATGGGATAATTTCCAATGCAAAACCTTTCATTTAGAGTTTATTTAAAATATTCGAATAATTGATTTTTAGATTTTTTTTTTTTTTAAGCAAACAATTGCAAATACTGTCTGGATGCATCTACTCATATGCTTTACTGCGGAGCTGACTAATTAGCTCTGCAGTAAAGCGTCACCATCTATTCTAGTTCACACCATCTATTTGTGTGCCCATATTAGGGCATAATAAATTAATTGACTCAGCTGTAGGATAGTACTGTCTGGGACAAATACTATTAGAGTAATTACGTGCGCCAAAACACACGTGTAGACAGTGACTGGGGCTGGTTGGGGCACGAGGGTGCTACAGTGAGGGGGCTGCTTGCCGGGTAGCCTCACACTGTAGCACCCTCGTGTCCCAGCCCCTCTGCAGCATGTTGAGCCAGGGTGAGGAAGCCTTGGGGTAGTAGGTTGACCCCCTGGGTCCCCTGCCAGCCCGGGACTGCTCTGTCCCAGCTCAAAGTGCTGTGATCCCAGGCGCACGTGTAAACACCTCCCAGGAGAAATAAACTCCAGCATGAACTGTGCCGGAGTTATTTTTTTGTCCTAATTACACGTGTAGATGCACCCTCTGTATTTTAAATTATTTTATGCCTATAGCATATTTAAACATCTGTAATTTAGCAACTGATGTTGCACAAAAAGTTACATCTCAAAGGCACTCTCCGTGGGTTATATAACATCCCAGGGTTACCACCAAGGAGATTTTAATAATGTGAAGAAAATAAATGCAACAAATCAAATCAAGCAAATGCTAAACTACGTTCATCTTGAATCATGGCTGCTAGGGGCTGCTTATGCTGAGGGAGTCCTGGCATCTTGGGTTTCCAGCCAATTGGTGAACTTTAAAACTTGTCCATATTTCAAGGCTTTTTCTTCCTGAAAAAAAAAAAAGAAAAAAGAAGAAAAAATAAATTTCTCTCCAAAACAACTTGCTGGGTATTTACTTTGAGAGCGGAAGCATGAGATTTCAAATACTACATCACCCTGTTGGGTTCATTATGCAGATTTCAAACACGTCATCCACTATTGCTGTCAGCTTCCCTGCTTAAATATTTAAATAAATGGTTTTACTTGCCTGAGCCATATATTGCATATAATTTTTCACCCATAAGATCTGCATCAGTATAGTAACTAATCTGAAATAGTCAAGGTTTTCTTAATGCATAAGTGACTGAAGGACCTTAGATTCATAGATTCATAGATGTTAGGGTCGGAAGGGACCTCAATAGATCATCGAGTCCGACCCCCTGCATAAGCAGGAGAGAGTGCTGGGTCTAGATGACCCCAGTTAGATACTCATCTAACCTCCTCTTGAAGACCCCCAGGGTAGGGGAGAGCACCACCTCCCTTGGGAACCCGTTCCAGACCTTGGCCACTCAAACTGTGAAGCAGTTCTTCCTAATGTCCAATCTAAATCTGCTCTCTGCTAGTTTGTGGCCATTATTTCTTGTAACCCCCGGGGGCGCCTTGGTGAATAAATACTCACCAGTTCCCTTCTGTGCCCCCGTGATGAACTTATAGGCAGCCACAAGGTCGCCTCTCAACCTTCTCTTGCGGAGGCTGAATAGATCCAGTTTCTCTAGTCTCTCCTCGTAAGGCTTGGTCTGTAGGCCCTTAACCATACGAGTGGCCCTTCTCTGGACCCTCTCCAGGTTATCCGCATCCCTCTTGAAGTGCGGCGCCCAGAATTGCACGCAGTACTCCAACTGCGGTCTGACCAGCGCCTGATAGAGGGGAAGTATCACCTCCTAGGACCTATTTGTCATGCATCTGTTGATGCACGATAAAGTGCCATTGGCTTTTTTGATGGCTTCGTCACACTGCCGACTCATGTTCATCTTGGAGTCCACTAGGACTCCGAGATCCCTTTCCACTTCCGTGCCACCCAGCAGGTCATTCCCTAGGCTGTAGGTGTGCTGGACATTTTTCCTCCCTAGGTGCAGCACTTTGCATTTCTCCTTGTTGAACTGCATTCTGTTGTTTTCTGCCCACTGGTCTAACCTGTCTAGGTCTTGCATCTGATGGATGCAATCAGGTGATATAATTTAAATAAAATTTACTGTCTGTACAAAGGCAGTAGACCTTAGCTCCTGAGAGGAAAAAAATCACTTTACTATTTTTATGAACATTTCAAACATACTTCAAAAGTAAATTATAACTGGGTTAGCTAAAAAGGCTGTAGAGCAGGATGATTCTTCTAGTTGTTGCTCAAATGCTACATACTTTTTTTACAGACTTTCCTGAAGGAACGCTTTGACAATGAAGAAATTAAACCAGATTTATGGATGTCCTTGGAAGGTGGAAATGCTTGTACTGAATGTGGAATTCTAGCAGAGGATACAGCTCTGTATTTTGGAGGCACTACAGTAAGACAAGCTGTCACACAAGACCTGGATCTGAGGGGTGCCAAGTATGTCATGTTACCAGCTAGAATTTGACATAGCTGATGTGTTCTAACAGAGGGCTTCATTAATAATAATAATAATAGAGATCAGATTGGTAACAAACATATAAATAAACAGTAACAGATAAGGCAGCTTATGGGAATGATGATACTGAACTTTTCACTTCTAAGCTCTGCCCCATCTCAGGGTCTACGCATGGTAGTCTGGTGCCCTGATGCTGCCTCTCTACAACCCCAGTGAGAGACTTGTCGTGCCCCTCGCTTAGGAACACTGAGGCAAAGAACTCGTTGAGGAGTTCAGCCTTGTCCCCCCTGTCCATCACCAATTGCTTCTGCCCATTTAGCAGGGGTCCTATTCCTCCCTGGGCCTTCCTTTTACTCCCAATATATCTAAAAAACAATTTCTTGTTGTCCTTTACTTGGGTTGCCATCCTCAGCTCCATGGCAGCTTTGGCCCGTCTAACTGCCTCCCTACAAGCACGAGCAGAGGAGGTATATTCGTCTTTGGTGATCTCTCCCTGTTTCCACTTTTTATGTGCTCCCCTTTTGTCCCTTAGGCTGCCCTGGATTTCTCTGGTCAGCTAGGGAAGCCTCCTGGCCCCTTTCCCCCTTTTGCCTCGCTCGGGGATCGTCTTGCTTTGTGCCCGAAGGATCATTTCCTTAAGGCACAGCCACCCTTCTTGGGCTCCCATCACTTCAAAACTCCTACTCTTGGCAAATCTTTTTGCAAATCTTAAGTGCTGTGATCACCCTTTTCGTTCATAAGTAGCGTACTGCACGGCCTTCCAATGAAGGAATCTGACCGCTGCTAATGAAGACAAATGGGCGAAAACACATACTCCATTTGGTGTTTTAGAAAACTAACACACCATGTGTTTAATACCTAGTGGAGGCTTAGGTCCAGTGCAAGGTGTTGGCAGGTGTACAAAGTTAAAAGGGTCAGAAAAGGGTCAATTAAAAGGGTCAGAAAGGTGATTTTAGCTTTGCTGTGGATAAAATTGTGAGTTATTTCTTCATAAAATCATGGCCATTTTGATTGGGCCAGCCGTGTCACTGATCTTGTGTGCAGTTTGAACTGCATCATTCATTTATTCAGGAGTGATCTTGATTTAAAAAAGAAACCATTTGTGCAGGCCAATAGGAAGGTTACCAAACAACTCATTTCTTTCCTTTGTCATTTAGAAGCCGAAATGATCTGGCTCAGACACTCGAGCTCCTGAAAGCACAAATTGATCCTGCACTGTTGAAAAACAACAACCAGCAGGACAGTTCATCACGTGAAAGCCCAAGCCTAGAAGATGAAGACCCCAAAAAGGAAGAAGAAACATCTACCCCAGGTTTTCTATCCTTATTTTTCACCAAGCTTTAGATGTTGTGCTGCATCAGTCTGAATTTGCAACCTCCTGAAAAGGAAACATTCTAGAAATGAGTTTTTTTTCCGCTGTCCTTTTGAGCTGTGTACAAGGAATAAACATCCCGTTGTTCAGTTTTAAATGCTGACTATCTAGAATACACGAATCTGATTTATACATCTTATTGTTCAAAAGAATTTGGGAGGAGTACTCAATTTATTTGGAAAACAAATTGTACATACAATCCTTCTTTTGAAATAGTTTACCTTTGTTTTTGCTGTACATTTTGAGTTTTATATTATTTTAAAGTCTTGACATTTGCTCTCCTATATTTACCTTTCTTCCATTTGTCCTGTACTGGGTTTTCACCCAACCTTTCACATTCCTAATGGACATCACATTTTTTTCTGTTGATGCAGTACTATAGTTCAGGGGTTCCCAACCTTTTTATGTCCCGCCTTTGGCAAACCATGGACTGGAAGTGACCGCGGACCAGCAAACTGCGGACCAGCTGTGACCGGCATACTGTGGGCAGGCAGCCAACCCTTTTTTATACTCAGTATAAAAAAGGATTGACTGCCAGTCTTCAGTATGCCGGTCACTTCCAGTCCATGGTTTGCTGATCTGCGGTCACTTCTGGTCCAGCAGCCGACCCTCCTGTAGAGCAGCAGCTGACCCTTCGGGCCGTGGCCCGGGGGTTGGGAACCCCTGCTAATTGTTTTCAACATAACACTACATCTGTTGTTTTACTTTTGCATTTATATTATAAATTATGGGTTCTTTCCCCATACCTTCTGTAACCTATTTTGAAAATGAGAGGGGTGCTCTCAAAATAATTCTAAATAGTTGGATTTGACTTGATTTAATAATGAATTAATTAAAATTGAATTAATTAATATTGACTTGAATTAATATTGACAGTAAAGACCTATCGGATAGCAAGGTAACTGTTCCTATCTTGTTTTTTCTTATCAGTGAAGAACCGCTATTTCTTGTTGCTTTATTACTGCCAATTTTTGACACGTTTGATGCAGATGTTTTTAATTGGAATCAGTGAATCTTAAGTGATCTTAAAATCTGTTTAGCTGAATCAATTTTAAACCTTTTAGAAAATGTCCCTAGTTTAGAAAAATCTCAAGGTAGCATGGCACACAAATCCATCAAGAACCACTAACACCACTACTTGTTGTTTGACTAGCATCCGATGTATATAGCTAACAGAATGTGCAATGCTATGCACAGGGGCTTTGTCCATACCAGGTATTAAGTTTGTTTGTAATTTAATTAGAAGGTTTAAGCACAGACAGTTCAGTACAACAGGTAGCACTGTTCTGCATTGGTTGAGTTAAGAACTTCTGGTGTTCGTCCTATTCTCTAGGCCAGAAGTGTCAAACTCACTAGGGGCTCCTTACAGGCTGGATCTCGACGTAGTAGGGTGAGTGGCAGCGGTGGCAGAGAACTGCCCTTGTCATGCACCCCCTGCTGCCAACACATACCCTGGCCAGGCTGTGTCCTGGATTTTGGGTCTGGATACTGCCCTGAATTCCCAGCCCATCTAGAAGTCCCAGGAGCCAGGCAACACAGCTCCAGGGACTGGATTCAGCCTGCAGGCTATTTCTTTGGTACCCTGATCTGGGCATTGTTTTTAGAAACATTGTATTCTGGGAAGTCGAAAAAGGCCTTCCAGTATTTTGTGGAATTATAGTGGAAGAACTGGTAGAATTATTTTACCTTGTCTTCACCCATGCTTGCATTAAATTAGTCCAGAATGCAACCATTTAAACTGCTCCCCTTTCTAAATTTGCATACTTCCCTGAAATAGCATTTAGACAACTTGCAGAACAGATGAAGTCTTTTTTTCTACTAGATGCGAAATGCTTTACAAGCGATCTAGGAAGTTGAAGTGGTTCTTAGAACGGTAGCTTTCTCCAGGAGAGGCAAGGCTTAGAATTGCTGTTGCCTCCTAATATTCTGAGTAGCTAAGGAAAAAAAGAAGAGTGAGAGATTGAGGTCCTGGATAGTGGGGAGGGAAGAGAAGACTGAAAAAAATAGAGGAAGACGCACCAATGTAGTTGCACTCATTTTTTCTCGGGTAACTACACTGTAATAAGTTACACCAGCGTACAGCTGTATAGTGCATTTCTGGTTCCAATACAAGGAATTCCTTAAAACATTTTAGAGTGAGATCTTTGAAAGTAGAGTTTCAGGTCTTCTTTCCTTAGGTTTTGAGTAATAAATGTTCTAGAAGCAATAGACTGCCATTCATTGTGGCTAAAAGATCAGCAGAAAAAAGAGACAAATTTGGAGCTTTCCTGAATTCTTTGTTAGGTTTAGATGCTTTTGCTTTTAATTTGACAACTGCAATTCCCTTATATTTTATCGATAACATTTGGCAGTCATTTTGTTAATGCCAGCATCAGAGGAGACAGACTCTTAATAATTTCTATAGGAAATTTTGATGATTAGAATGTACTGTCTGCTTGATTTTTTTTTTTTAACATCCTAGAATTTTTCTGGTGCTTATGTAATAATTGTTTTCTTATGTTCACAGAAAAAGAATTAAAAATAAAAGAAGAAAAAAAGACAGTGGAGGAACAGTCAAAAGAATTAGAAAGTCTTCCTCCACCTACTACCACAGAAGATGGAAACATAATTAAAGTAGAGAAAGTAGAAGAAAAGGAAATTATAAAACTCCCGGTTATCGTAAAACTAGAGAAAACCCCAGAAAACAATGAGGAAAAGCAGATTATCAAAGAAGAAAGCGATTCGTTTAAAGAAAATGTCAAGCCTTTTAAAGCAGAAGTAAAGGAAATGAAAGTAGACCCAAGGGATTTAAGAGAAGTAAAAGGCAGCACAGATAAAATAGTTCATGAACCTGAGAGATTAGACTTTTGTGTCAATGTCAGAACTCCCCAGGAAATTGTGGAGAAATCTGTGGAGGAAAGTGAGAAGCTGAAAAATGACCAGCAGGCAAAGATCCCGCTGAAGAAGCGGGAGATCAAACTGACCGATGACTATGACAGCCCAATCAAGGGCCCCTTGTGCAAATGTGTTACTCCCCCAAAAGAGGTCTTGAAAGAGGAAGGGAAACCAGAAGAGGAGGCTTTTAAGCGCGTTCCTACTATTACTGCATTATGTCCTGATGGGAAATTACTAGTCAATGGAGAGGTTAGCTGTGAAAAAGCCCCAAATGTCACCCACAATAATAAGTCAGAACACTCCATCAGCATGAAGGAAGAGAGCAGCAGCTCATTAAAGGAGAAAAATGGTATAAGTGGGGAAAAAGTACCAGACTGTTTAAACTCTGTTTGCAGAATTGTGAAAATATGTGAGGTTGAGAAAACTGTGATGCCTGTGGGAAAAGAGGTAGCAACTACAATCTCTGAGATTGCTAGTCAGAAAGTGCCTTTAAAAGTGGAATCTAGTCCTACGGAAAAGGAGGCCCTCGACAGTATGACTTCTGAGATAATAGTGGAAGAGGCCTCAAAAACTGTAGACTACCCCAAAGGCCCTGAAGAGAAGCTAATTTTGAAAATTAAAAAGGACAGAAGACTTCCACTTAAGGACAGCTTAGAAAAACTTGAAAAGTCTATGAAGACATCCACTTCTAAAGAGCCACCCAAGGTTGATGTACCAGGTGATGAGGGTTTGAAAAGCAAAAATGAACTGGAGAAGAAACCTAATTCTTCCAGAGCTGCTGAAACACCTCCATCATCTACTTCTCCTGTTCTTTCAGGCAAGCCTGTTTCAGAACAAGAGGGCTCTGACTGTAAAAGCACACTCCCTTGTGACAGCAAAATACAGGAAAAATCAGACTGTGAAAAGCCAACAGAGGAATCGGAAGTTTCCATGTCAGAACCAGATAAACTAGATAACGCCCAAATCTCTAATGCAGAGGACACTTCGGAGACTGAAAATGAACCTACAGCACAGAAAAGCAAATTTAAATATAAACTGGTTTCTGATGAGGAAGGCTGTATTACAGATAACAAGGAGATAACCTCGGAGAGGCAGAAAGAAGGAATTAAATTAACAATCAGGATCTCTAGCAGAAAGAAAAAGCCTGATCCACCCCCAGAGGATGCCAATGCTGGTCGTACGTTAAGGAGGAGTCCAAGAATATCTAAACCTACTCCAAAAATTGTGGAGACTCGAGATCTGAAACCTGACAAAAAACGAATTGAAGATGATGAGGAAAAAATGGCAGCAGGGCAGAAGCAGGACCGAAAAGAGGATGTGAAAAAACAGGAGAAGGAGCCTAATGCTAAAGTCAGCAAGGTAACATGATCATAGGACATAGGAGGAGATAATTTAACTCTAAGGAGAAAGCATATTTGCATAGGAATGGTGAGAAGTATGCTGTTACAGTGACCTTGTGCATGTGGCAGACTAGTAATTTGGCTAGTACAGGTACTGATTTGAAAACAGCCCCAGGGAGAGTGCTAATTATTAGCATTGTCATTTATACATTTCCAGATTCCTACATGTACCCTACCTTTAGAGTAACTACTGCGAATTAACAGGGATATCTTCTTTTGGAAAATAAGATACTCAGATCTTCAGGTTGTGTTGAAGTGATATAGCTGTGGTGGTCCAGGGAATCTGCAAGGAGCAAGGATTTTTGTGGGTGATATTTTGTATTGAACAAATGCATCCCAACTGTGCAGTGTGTCCAATACAACATATCACCTACAAAATTCTTAGGCTCTTCAGGATATTATAAAACCTGTAGGTTAGATGCCAGATTAATACGCTTATGAATATTTATTGTATTGCATATACAGGTGCTTGATTGGTCAGTTTGACGACAACGATGAACAGATGGGGACTGAAAAAAATAAAAAGAGTATAGTATTAGCGCTCTGCAGAATTGAACTTGAGTTTTGTTCTTCAGAGCAACTCTTTCAGTGGGGTTATGAAGGAAATTCTTAATTATCACTTTTTCCCTAGATTGGATCTGGGTTTCATTTTGGGCAGGGGGAAATGTACTTTCCCTGAAACACTTCTGCCTTGCAATCAAAGCTTTCAAAGTTTGAAGGGTAGAAATAATTGTAAGCCTAAAGGAAGACTATACAAAAGGTGTGCATACAGCTTGCTTCTAGCTCTGTGTAATTTTAATTCCTTGTATTTCTTTTGAGCCACATACCTTCCTGAAATGATGCATTAAAAAGGAAAGAGGCAGTATTTTTTAAAAACAAGTGCACATAATTGATGCAACAATGTCTACTTGAAATCCAGTTAATTACAGAAGATGAATGAATTGTTGTTTCAGGTGCCACACTTCTGAGTCTGCCTACTGACTTCTGTAGTTCTACAAACCCCATTTCCTATTTTAAAAAGTTTCCTCCCCTGTCATACATGAATCTTTCTCACAGCCTGAATGCAAAGGTGACTTCACAGTGTGTAAATGCTATAGAGGAAGGACTGTCAAATACTTAAAATAAACTACAGAAGTAGTGAGATTTCTCTCCTTCTAGTCCTAATATTCCTAGATGCTACAAGTGAAGTAAGATGTTCACATGCAAACAAGCGAGTATTAAAATGAACGGTCTTTTTGAAAGACTTAGTGATCTAAATATACCTAGTGTTCTAGTGAGATGTAAAAATTAATTCACTTTTAGGAGAAGCTTGAGGTTGGAGCTCTAGTATAAAAATACGCATGCCCATAGATAGCTCTTTTAGCTGGTTCGATAAAAATCATGGTGTTCTTAAAAACAAAAAAGCATTATTGCCTTTTTAAATTTAAGCGCAATACATTTTCATTTATAAAAATAAATGTCTTTAAACTTAAATTTGAAATTTTGACCACTCGTGTTAATGAATTTTAAAAAATATTCAGGGATCTATCTGGTAGCCATGTTGGTCTGAGACAAAAAGACATGCAAAACTCTAGCACTCTTGGTTCAGAAATGATACCTTTTATTAGACCAACTAAGAAACTGCAAAAAAAAAATTAACAGGAGATTTTTTTTGTGATTCCTTAGCTGGTCTAATAAAAGATATCATTTTGGAACCAAGAGTTCTAGAGTTTTGCAAAAAAATATTCAAGCATTTTGTGCTTGCAACTGAAGTTTTAAAGAAAGTAAAATCACTGGATTGATGGGAATTATTGACTAAGCACCTGGAGTTAGAATTTATTGAATTGCTAACTGAGCCTTTTAGTCTGCATGTCTGTAGGAACGTTTGGTTTGTTTCGGTTTATTTACCTACTTTAGTTTGAGTAGTTCATTTGGAGTTGAAAAAGCAGGAACATTTTTTTTCTTTTCCAATCCACAAATAAACAAGAGGGTAACATCTTCCAGTTCTAAAATCTTGAAGGATTGCCTGACCAGAAACAATCAGTTCAATCAGTTACCTACAGGTAATACTTCCTTTAATAAATCAGTTTTAAATGCACAACACATTGGGCATGTCCCCACATGCAGGGGTGTGCGCTTGCAGTGGGGAAAGAAAAGTAGTGGTACAAATTTGTGTCACATTTTGGTGCTGCGCACAGCCATGCATGTGTGCTTTGGTGTGGGGCAAAATGCCCTGCTTTGGGGAAACTGCTGTTTCCCTGCTCCTACTGGCTCCTGGAATGCTAAAGAAGCCAGGGGGAAATAAAGGAGGGGAGATGCTCTGGCTAGGGGTGCACCGATACATCTGTCTGATATTGGATTGGCACTGATATAAAGAAAGTTGACTGTATTGGAAATCAGCTTTTTTTGCCTGATGTGGCTGGTAATTTGGCGAGTAAATGCCCCGTGCATACGCGGAGCCACAGCGCGCCATGTAGGCGGTGAGGAGCACAGCCTGGCAGCTTGGAGAGCTGCATCCAGCTGGTAAGTCTGTTGTGGTGGAAGGGGCGTGGGGAAGGCTGATCAAGGCTCCCACGGTGAGGGACATAGTGGAGTTGAGGCTTGGGCAGGAGCTACCCAGCTGGGGCGGGGCAGGGTGTGGGACAGAGTTGCAGCTCATCTAGGGGGGTGGCTCCTGTTGCTGCATGAACCCTGGGAAGGCACCGGGGATATGTGCCCTTTGATCTGTATGGGGCGAGGGTGGGCTGCCTCTGCGGACTGGGGCCAGGGCTGCACTGGGCTCTGGCGGTGGGGGGTGGGTTGGGCTGGGCTGCGCTTGGAGCAGGGCGGGCGGCTGTGTTGGGAGAAGGGCTTAGCGGGGCTATGATGAATTTTGGGGTGGCTGCAGGCCCCT